CCTTCCCTCAGGCTGCAGGGTCTGTGCTGGGGGGAGTGAGGTGCCTGAGCCCCGTGCCCAGACCTCACCTGCGGGAAGGAACAGGCAGTGCTCCCCTTTGTATCAGCACCTCGCTTTCACCGGGTGCGGATGTGGGGGCTGCCTATCCCATGACAGTGACCACATGTCCAGGTTTTCCCACACATCCTCGTTTTTGGCCCCCAGTCCCTGTGTCTGGCAGGTTTTTAAACTGCAGTCAAATATCTGGATTTCTGGTGTGTGTGCACTTGGGCAGGGGGGCTGTGGGGCAGGAGTGAGGGGAGGCTGGGGGGGCAAGGGCTTAGGAGGAGCATGGTCAGGGCACAGGCATATCACTGCCCCCCCACAATCGTATTCCCCCCCAGTTGTCCTCTTTTTTTGATACTGGAAATATGGTAGCCCTCGTGGCCAGATGAAACTAAACCAAGCAGCAGGGAGCTACAGCCCTCGCTCGGGGCAGTGGCTGGGTACCTCTGCGGCATGAGCTAGCAGTCTCAGTGACCTGTGTCCTCTCAGCAGCCTGCCCCACCGCCCTCAGTCAAGGGTCTGCAGGCTCTAGGAGCAACTGGCCAACTCAGCGCAGCTTTCTGAAGGCAACTGCCGCTCCCTTGCCAGTGCCAGTGTCCTGACCCAGCAGCTGCTGCCCTGCCACCTAATTCCTGCCAGCATCCCTGCCCCAGAATCACTGACACATTCTGGCTTCACAGGCAGATGACACCATTGGCCAGGCCACATCCAGCCCATGAGCTGCAGGGTGCCAGCTTCTGTCCGAAGCATTCACAGACTGTCCAGGAATGTGGCATGTAGGTGTTCGTCTCTGCGGAGAGATTGGTCGCAGGCTGGGGATGATGAGCCTCCTCATTTCTAGACAAAGTGGCAGCATGTTAAGAGGGCAGGATGGTAGGCATTTGCCCTGGTGCTGCCCTCTGCAAAGGGGATTTCATTCAGTCATTGTCATCAGAGTAGTGCCTTCCCTGAGACTGGGCATCTAACACAGCACGTGGAAAGGAATCCTTACTCAGGGAGCATGCTGTTGCACTATTTAATTGTAGGCAAAGTTCAGTACAAAGACAGCAACAAGCTTGTGATTAGATCTGCCTTTTGGGTGTGTAGTTTTGTGTGAAGCTTAGGTAATTCCTGGTTAATTCCAACTGTTAACTGCTTTTGGTTTTCCTGCTGAACAGGTTTGGCTGTTTCTCCCAGAATATTATCAGGTTGCTGAGTAATTCAGTCCCTCACGCACAGGCTAGTAAACTGAGAGCTCGTGGTTTTATAGAAGCCCATTGTCTCATGATACCCTCTGTTATACAGCAGATTTATAAGCTTAGTTGTTAACCTGTTTAGGAATGGGAGGATTCCACTTTGTTACAGAAACTTGGCAGAGTTCAGTAGGTTATAATGGCCCATCTACCTCCATCTATTTGCCTTGCACTCGTTTTCCAAGCTGGTGGCTGTGGAGGCCAGAGAATGTCATAATAGTACAGAAAAGAATTAAAATTGCAATTCAGTGCTAACACTGTTTGAGTTTCTTGTGTAAGCAGAGAGAGGTTGTAAAGTGTTAACATTTAGGACCTTTGTTCTCCAGCTGCATAAATTAATGGGAGGAGGTAAATCACTTTAGAAATGAAGTGAGCCTCAGTATTTGAAAGAGTTTCACACTGGCTTCAGGAGCATATGCTGAGTGAACTGTCCTGAAAAGTGATGGCTTCCGTGCACCCAGAAAATGTCCAGGACTCAACTACCAACAGGTCAAGCTTCCCTTGCTCTGCCCTGCTGTGTCTCAGCTCAGCCCTGCAGGGGATGGCTTGAGGGGGGAAATGAGTTTCCACAGACACAGGGAGAAGGCTCCCAGTAAGAGGCTAGTTGGTGCTGCTGGTGATAGGCGCAGGTGATACATACCCAAATCTGCCAAGAGCTGGTCTGAGACCCAGAAGTTTGTTTCACACCAGGCAGAGAACAGCAATGGGCTGGAAACCATTTTCATTCACAGCACAGCTGGATTAAATTTGACCCTGAAGCTGAAAAGTGCTAGAGCTTTTATCAGTCCCTCAAGCTGATTACTGTCCAAAATGCTCCTTCCCCTATCAATCTTTGGCTGTGAGAGGGAGGGTGAGGTTTGTGGCTTGTCTGGCTTTTATCCCTGCATTTGTTATTCTAGATTCTCCTTAGTCCACAGGCATTGATGAAGCCATGCTTAGGCTACGATTATTAACGTGGGACGTGAAGGACACATTAATTCGGCTCCGGCACCCAGTGGGAGAGAGCTACTCTGCTGAAGCCCAAGTTCATGGAATCCAGGTGGAGCCAGAGGCTCTTAATAAGTCTTTCCATCAGGCCTACAAAGTCCAGAGCGAGCACTTCCCTAACTATGGCTTGAACAGGGGGCTCAGCTCCAAGCAGTGGTGGGTGGACGTTGTGAAACAAACTTTCAGACTCTCTGGTGTCCACGAAGACACAGTTCTTGCACCTATTGCAGAAAAGCTCTATCAAGATTTCTGCATTGCATGCAACTGGGAAGTGTTACCAGGGGCCAAGGAGACTCTGAGGCAGTGCAGCCAGCAAGGCATCCGCATGGCTGTCATTTCCAACTTTGACAAAAGGCTGGAGAAGATTCTGTCCCAGTGTGACCTCAGGCACCATTTTGAGTTTGTGTTCACCTCTGAGGATGCTGGCTTTGCCAAACCTGACCAAAGGATCTTTCTGAAAGCCCTCCGCATTTCAGGGGTAGCTCCCCAGCTGGCAGCTCATGTGGGGGATGATTACATGAAGGATTACAGGGCAGCCAGAGAAGTGGGCATGCACAGCTTCCTACTCAAAAGAGCTGGGCAGGCCAACACATGGGAGTCAGATGTACCAGAGGAGCATCTCTTGCCTTCACTACCCCACCTGCTGTCTGTTATCGAAAAGGGTTAAGAGGGAGCCCCTGACATCTCAGCAGAGCCCTCCAGTGGGAAAGCAGGTTGCAGACACTCCTGGTAGGAAGAATAGGGACCAATGGTGCTGCTACATGGAGGTGGAAGGCTGTGTGGCTTTATTTTTCACCAGGTGAATCAGTTACACTGTAGATACTGTTTGGTGTCATTTCCATGCTGCAAAGAGGCACTTACTATCACCATATACAGCAAAACCCTAGGGACAGGCTTAAAATAAAATCCTTAATTGTGCTCAGTGCTTCTCAGTCACTTCCTTCCATAGCTGTCCAAGAACTTTGCAGGAATGGGTCAGCATCACTACCCTCATTTTCTAGATGAGGAAACTGAGGCACAAGGGGAGGGGGTGATATTTATGGTCACTCAATAAATTAGTGGCCAAGCTTGGAGCAGAACTCAAGTCTTCCAGCATGCCAGTCTTGTGCCTTGCAAATGACAGTCCTGCTCACAGGAGATAGGCCATGCCACTGGGAACAAGAGTACATGTTTTCCTGCAGACCGAGCCAGAAAAAGAAAACCCTCCTCTCCATCAGGCTCTTTCCCCCCACTAGTGCAAAGGGATGGTACATCTCCCTGTGTAGTGTGGCTTGCTGCCCTACCAAGGGGCCTCACCCACAGAGGAAACAAGTAGTGTTCTAGCAGGGGCAAATGTGGGTGGGGGCTGCATACTGGCTGTGGTTAATTCTGTACATCTTTGTCTGAGCTGACCATAGCCCTTGTGCAGCTAGCACTGCTTTCCTGGGCTGCACTGACTCAAGAGGCTGCCACTGTCCTTACTGCAATTCCCCACACAATGCTTTTCCCTGCACCTACCCTCAGCTAGCATCTGCACTTGAAGAAGCTGGCCCTTTTCTTACTTTGTGTGTCCTTGTGACAAGGTATTTAGCAGAATTCACAGATTTGTTGGAATCTGACAGGGCCGTGCCATGAACATTTCTGCTGTGGCCTCAAACTTGCAGTCTCTGGGTTGTCAATCATGCACCTTAGCATCCACACAATGCCAGCCCTGAAGCAGCTGGTGTGTCTCTTGGAAAGTTTGTACCTCAGGCATGACTCTGGCAATACATCCCATGTTATCCCCCACACCTCTCACCATAATGCTTACACTGTACCTGGGCAAACTGCGCAAAGCTTCCCACGGAGCCACCAGTGCACGGCATCACTGGGAATGTTGGAAAAGGAAGCAGCTCCGTGTTTGCTGCTCAGCTGGAAATGAAAGAGCCAGTGGCCGTTTCTTTGCCCAAGTCTCGGCAGGTGCCTTTCAAAACGCTGCTCACAGTGGTTAAGGGCTGTTGGTTTGGCTTCTATTTCACCCAGGAGAGCACACAACCAACAGACTCTCCGTGTGCATGAAAGAGTGTTTGTGCCTAAAAGATTGCAAAGAATAATTTTTCCAATGATCTAGTAGGTCTAATAAAAGATATCACACCTACCTAAAAAGCCTAGTCTGCTCACAGTGGTTGCCACATGGCTGCTAGTAACTGCTTCAACCGCCCTGTGACAAGGCCACTGCCAGCTGCTGTGAAGACCAGTCCTGAGAGCCTGCAATGTTCAGGGGATTAAAAAATAAAAGGGGAGTTGACCACAACTGACTGGGTCACATCTTTCCTCTACAGCTACGTTGTAGCCAGACCTTCCAATGAAGGGTTTCATACTGTGTTTACTGAGGGGCTCTGATCTCTCCAGACCTGGGCAGCTCACATGCATTCACTAACCTAGCCTTCCCACATTGCTCTGTGGGATGAAAGAGCAGCCGTCATATCAGAGGGGTAACCTGACTCATCCCAGTCTGACCCACTTCCACAGCCAGTTCCACATGCAAGACAGAGCACTCTTCCTGTGATGGCTGAGTTAGTGGTGAAATTCATCTTCCAGCATAGGCACCTTCACTTGTTTCTTGCATAATTTTTCCCCAAGTAGGCAGGTGGCAGGGTCCCCAAGGTCACTGCACCAATGCTTTCTGCTGGGACAACAACTACACTTTGCGGACACAGAACAGAGCACAGAAAGGGTCAGGGTGAAACAAAACAAAGAATTCAAGTGGGGGCCCAGAACATTAGAAAAGGGGCAAATATAGTCCCCAGCTTTAAATGAAGATGACCATGGGCATGACAAGTAGGGCAGTCTAAGTTGGATGCCTGGAATAACACTGAAGCATTTCATCAATCAGTCTGTAAGTGTCCAGAGAATAAGGAGGTGATAAGTAACAGCCAACACGGATGTGTCAATAGCAACTCATACCTGGCCAACCTAGTTACCTTCTCAGACAAGGTGACAGGCCTCATGGATGGTGGAGGGGCTTGGCAAGTCCTGGATGCAAGACACCTCACATCTTTTAATACCATCTCCCATTACTTTCTAAGAAAAACGGGTTTAGGTGGAACTACTGTAAGGTGGGTGCACGACTGATTGGATCATCATGCTTGCGGAGTAGCCATCAACCACAGCTGAAAAACAAATGAAGAGCAGGTATCTGGGGTGAAGGCAGGATTCAACCAAGTGCCAGTGCACTTAGGCTACCAATCCCATCCTGGCTACTTGCCACCAAAGAAGATACTTCTGGGGTCTGTTCTGTGCTTTACATATGTGGGGAAAGCTCCTTTGGTTTTCCCCACAAAGCAGGAGCTTGAACATCTGTCCTGCCAGGCCTGCTCACTGTACAAGAGAGATACTCTGGTCAGCCACAGCCAGGACGGGATAGATGGGCTCAGTGAAGGTTTCTCGGTGGGAGTGAAGGATGATGCAGGAGTTAGGGTCATAAAACAGAACCTCTCCCCCATCAAGGTCAACCAGGACCCCAATCTGCGTGGGGCACTTGATCAGCTCCACAGTCTGATGTTGACTGTCATGTGAGAACCTGAACTCCTTGTCGTAGCGGGAGAACACCCATGAGCAGCTGTTGTAGCCCAGCCGGGCTTCATCTCCAGACCCTTTGCGCTGCAAGGAGCCATAGGAAACCCCCAGCTTATACGCACAGCTCTTCTCCACGCTGACCCTCCAGGCATGGATCCCTTTGTGGAAGGCCTTGGCAGCCAAGGCATTGGGCCAGTGATCAAAGCGGTCAGGGCAGTCTGGGTAGGTCTTTGCTTTGGGGCTGAATGTTAAGGTCTTCTTGTCTTCTGACAGGGCCAGGCGGGGGCTGATAGTTTTCTCATCCACACAAATTTCTTCTGAACCTGCCAGGGAAGCAAAACAATGAGCACAGGTTCAGCAGCTGAGGCAATGGCACTTGGTTAGGCAAGGGGGAATCAGAGCTCAGCAGCAGAACTAATTTGGCACGGTTATTCCTGTGGCCGTTCAGGCTGGGTGGGGCAGGGAAATTCCCTCAGCTACTGCCCATACAGCACCTAGGCCTAGGGGGATGAAACTTCCTAAACCCCCGGGGCTGCCGTCAGACCAGCACCTCTCACCTGCACCGAATTCACAATCTAAACCATTAATTTGGCCGGAGCGTCTGAGAACCCAGGGCCAATAATGAGCTGGAGCAGACCAGGAAGTAGAGCCAGGCAGCGGGCTTAGCTGACAGGGAGACTACATCCCAGGACAAAGAGGATTCTGGGATCTCGGAGGTTTCCACTCAGACTCTTTAGACCAGCGTTTCTCAACCTGTGGGTCATGACCCAAAAAGTGGGTCACAAGAATATATGAAAGGGTCGTGAACAAAACTTTAATAAATGGATCAACAAATTTTAAAAATGGATTCTCCTTTAAAGGAGAAAAACGGAAACTGCAGCTTTCCCCTTGCAGACTGGCAGAGCTCCAGCCTTCAAGGGCTGCTTGGGGCTGGGGGGAGCGAAAGGAGGGCATTAGGCAGGGGGTGCCATGTGCATGTGCACGCACACATGCATGTGGCAGCCCGGCAGTGTGGAGAGCAGTTCCCGCAGCTCCCCGCAGGTAAATCTACCTCCTCTCTGGAGCAGAGCCATGGCTTGAGGGGAGTGGCAGTGCCAACTCAGCCATGGTGGCAGGGTAGAGTCATAGCCTAGTGCATGAGCAGCTGGTGGCGAGAGAAGGTGAGGGCTATGCACCCCCCACCCCCATCTGTTACTTCCCATGCTGCTGGCAGCATAGCGTGGGGGCTCAGGCAGCAGTGGCAGCAATAAGTCTTGCCACACTGCTCTACCCTTCTGCGCCAAGCCCCAGCTGCTGGGCTGTGGAGGTGGCTTCTGCCTGTGCCAGCATAGCCAGGCTGCAGCCCCATGCCCACTGTGGGTACACAAATCTGGGAGGGGCATGTGGCCCCTCATGCTCCACACCCACACCCCACACACTGTGGGGCTGGGGCCTGGGGTGGGGGGCTGTGGGTTGGGGGTGATGGGCACCAGCAGGGCCAGGGGGCTGTTTTCTACTTAAACTATTTACTGGGTTGGGACTGGCCATCAATGTTTACAAATGAGTCTTGGTTCAAAAAAGGTTGAGAACCACTGCTTTAGGCTTCTCACCACATCTCACAATCCCTGCCTGGGGTTTATGGTACCATGCCCTGCACTGCAGGATATTTCCTCCACAATCTATCCCCAGATGGGCTGCACAGGGAGACTGTCCTCAGCAGATCCAAAGCCTGGGTACAAAGCTGCTTGCATGGTTGCCCAGCATCTCTGTTCTTTTTGCTTTTCAAATTCTCTGAGTAAGGAACAGAAAAGGCTGATGCTACTTGGGTCACCTCGGCCACTACCGGAGCAGGGTTTCTTTGCCTTACTCTTTCCCCCCATTGACTTGCTTTGTGTCTTGAATCATCACTATAGAAACTAGGCAGACAGCAAGTGAACCACCTCCTTTCACAGTCACCACAAGGCTCAGCTCTGCTACATGTGGGGGAAGGAGCTTGCTTATCCTGGGCAGATTCTGACTGGTGCCCAGCACCCTAAACTGCTGTTTCAGCCCCTCACAGGATTGGGCCATCAGAGAGAACAAACCAATATGCAAGAACCCAAAGCATGGCAGTCCCAAGCCTGCTGCCAGTGACTCCAAAGTGGGCAGGGGCAGACCCCAGGTGCCCTCAGCAATGGTGGGAACCCAGCATTTGCTTCTGAATTAGCCTCTGTCTGATCCTCCAGCAGCATGGCAGTAAGACAGCCTGATGCAGTTAACTGCAGCAGCTTGAAGTGAGAGATCTATGGATTTTGCTTAAACCCTTGCTTCTGGCATTACTTGAATTAGGAGAATGGCATCAGTTGTAGCAAGGCAGGATGAAAATGCCCCCTCCATTTAGCACAGATGGTACAATTACACATGAGCTGGTAGCTTTGGGTGAGGGGGGCTCTTGACTGTTCTCCAGTCCCTGTTCCCAAGGTATATGCAACTTCACCCCGATAAGAGACACTCTGACAACATGCCAGAAGCCTACGAGCTGCACTTAATTCTTATGAAGCAGAGGAGGATACAACCTCCCTTATCTGTAATGCAGAGGGGGAGCCCACAGAGATTACACACATCTCCCTTCTGAATCTAGGCAGAGCACTGCAGGCTGGGGTTTGTGCTTTAGGGCTTATCTGCATGGGAAAAGTTTGCCCATATAATATTTATACCAGACTAACACTCTGTATGAACACACTTTTCCTGAAAGATGAGCATCCAAGCAAGGAGTTATACAGTATGACCTACACTGTTAGAATTCCTGGGTATAGAAGCCTTTCATCCTAATGAATTCCTCTATAGAAGAGGCCAAACCAGATGCTCCTGGTTCAGAATCTGAGCTATGCTTTAAAAGGTCCTCTTTATTTGATCTACTCTCTGTCCCCAAGTGTTTGTACCATGCCAATCCACCAATCACTATGGCTGCTGGGTCCTCATACGTAGCTGAGGATAGTACTTCTTTTAGAGAGACCATCTGCTATACAGATCATTTCAGTCTGGCCGTTCATTATTTGTGCATTACAGGCAGTGCATTATTTCTATTTAAAAAATCCCAGCCTGCATCTTCAAGCCAGCATATTTGAATTTAGACTCCTAAATTAATCTGGAATTAGGGTTGAAATCCTGGACTTAACAAAACCACCATTGCTCTGGATATTTGTAAAGCAATGTCCTATCCTGTGCTTCTAAGAGCACACAAGCATGTCAAGCCGCTGTAACATGGAAGAGATGTGACACCACTTAAGATGTTTATCCCCTTTTTGAAACACACCCAAGCTGTGTTTCTAGGCAGTTTCACTTTTACTTCCTGCCCACTGACAGACCCCAAAGCTGTAATATCTGGGCTGCAAACACTGCTGGGGATGCATTATCCAAAGAGAATTTCTTCTTAAGGCCACGAAACAATGGATGTTACACCCTTGCCAACCCAAAATCTTCAAAAGCCACAAATCTGCCCCCAAAATTAAAAGAGTACCTTAAAAAAATCCAATTATTTTTAAAACTCACATTTGGGTTCTTTTTCTTTACTTTATTTTACCACACTCACATGGAGCACCCTACAAACAAAACGGCTAAAAGCTCTCTCTCGGAATGGAGCTCCCAACCAATTGCCTGCAGGAGCTAGGACTTCAAATGAAATAATTAATCACAAAATGCAATAAAAAGTTAGGCAGGCACGGTTCTTTGGGTATATGTGGTATCTTTTATTAGACCAACTCTCAAACCCAGTCCTCCACATTGGCAGACAACAAACACACACAAAGCATAGCACCTGAAAAACCAAGAACATCCTACAACATGCCATAGGTGGAGAGGACGTTGAGAGAGCTGACAAGTTGCTATTCAACATTAGCTAGGTTTTTAAAGCTAAAGCCATGGGGCTCAGCTCTGTGCTGGTGCTGTGGCAAGGGGCTTGCTTCATTTCTGTATCTTAGATCCTCTCTTCATAGTATCCCCTGCTCAAACAAACAATGGTGGCATGTATTGTAACCAGGCAGTTAGGTCACCAGGACATTGTCTTTTAAAGAGAAACACAGGAAATTACTGTAATACTGCTGCCTGGTGTCACTGTGTCTGCTGAACTGAGCAGGTGAAAGCTTGGTACATTTGAAAAGCCATGTTAACAAAAAACTCTGTTTCATTCATTGTGCAGACCTCCAATGCTATGAGCAAATTAAATGAAAACAGAAGAAGAAATGAACTATGACTTTCGTACAGAATAATGCAAAAAAGAAAAAGTGCTACCTATAGACTTGGAAACCAGGAGCATTGCACAAAACTAGACTAGGAAGAATGAGTTAACACTGTTCATCTTTGCAGCTTCTGAGGCAGAAACAAGGTCAGTGGGCCAAAATACTTTTCATATGTGCCTGAAGAGTATTGGCCCCTAGTGACAAGTTCAGTGAAACAGAGGGGGAAAAGCTCAAACAGCCTGCCTAGACTTATTTGAGGTATATTGATTGCCAAGAAACAACACAAGAAAAACATTCTGTGTGAAGAAACAAGGGCCTACTAAAATGATTGGTGGGTAACCCAGCAACAGCTGGTAATAAGAGATTTTCACATAGAACAATAGGATCTTAATGAAATCTACCTAAAAAGAAGGAAAATATTTCTAATGGCAGACAAAGTTAGCATCGGGAAGCCATTGGGGCAGGCAGAGTATGTGAAATAGCCAAAGAGCAGGTTAAATTATTTGTCAACCCCAGTCCTAACATGTATGTGATAAACCAGAAGGTTCTGTTACACACACACACATGCATGCACAGAGGAAAGGATGTAACAGCTGGCCACTTGCCACAACACTGCATCAAAAGAGCATGTAGCAAAGGCCCAGACTGAGCAGTTTTGCAGTAAATGGGAATGGCATCATGCAGAGCACAAGGAATGCCCAGGACTAGGGAAGATGCTCACAAAGTACCACAAAGCCAAACCACTCTGCAGGAGCAAACCACAGAGGCAAACAAAAGGACTTAGCTCATCATGCAGGCTATCAGAGAACCTCTCCCCTACACCTCCCACCAAAGGAGGGCACCTCCACAACCAGGATGCAGCAAATTTTTGGCTGCAGTGCCGATTAGGGGGAAAGGATCATGATGAGGCACTATCATTAGGATAGTAATCAGGCCCAGAAGAAATGCCCATAAAACTCAAAATGGATGCCAGAGCACAAGTAAGCTGCATCCAGGAGATAGACACCAGGAAGTTTAGCTGACACCACAACACTCTTATCATACATCCCTGAGAAATTAGCAAGACATAGAGGGCATTCACTCGACATAATGAGGAATTCAGTGTTAAGTACAGATCAGTGGTTTTCAACCTTTTTAGACTCAAGGCCCCCCTCATTAGATTCAAGACCCACCTCAGAACGTACCAGCTCTTAGCTTTCACTCATTTTTTGACAACAAAAGAAATAATAAAGTAGTTCTTCTGTTGCCAAGAACTCAGAAAGGTCACAACAGGTCAGAATGGGTTTGATGCTATGGACTCTTTGGAATCTGTGTTTATCTGGTGAATCACCTGTCGGTGTTTGCATGTCTAACAGTGCTACTATTACGCAACACACTTCAGTAACCTTAAGAGGATCTCATGGCACCCCAGGGTGCCAACGGCACCAAGATTGAGAATCACCAGTTGCAGTAGAAAAATACCAACATTGTTGCGATCTGCACATGCACCAATCTAAACAAAGTGATAATGTTTAAGTCCTACAGTCAGTCCACTCTAAAGGATATCCCTGACATGCTGTCTGCAGCAAGCATATTGAATGTTGCATCTAAATATTGTTAGATGAGAACAAACAACGAAAGCACTGAGTTAGACACTTGAAACACTCTATTGGGATAAAAGTGCTGAGAATACCCTCTGGTATGATCACATTGAAAAATGAGACCTGACCCAAACAGCAAAGTGAAAGTGATAATGCAGTCAGCAGCACTGACACAGCCTGCACAAGAACAAGCTCTCTTGGCCATTACAGACTTTCAGAATGGGAAAAGAAAACAAAAAAATCCAAACCATGAGTTATCAGTGGAGAAGGGAACAGTGCTGGAAGAAAATGCATCTGGGATGCAATTCTTGAGGGACACCTCAGTTTAGTACTATTCAAAAGATGGCCCAAAGAAATGGGTATCTTACCAAATGCGAGTACAAGGAACTACTTATGATGCATGATGCCCCAGGCAGAACCTGGCAGCTATTGACAACTCTGTTACAATGCACAACATTATGCTTATATCCACACGTACAAGCAGCAACATGTATACTTTACTCAAACTCAAAGAATAGAAAGTCTAAATATATCCTGCTGCTGTTACTAAATGTGACCATTAGTAAATGCATCTTGAAACTGCTCTATTTGGAAGATGCATTGTATTGCTGCAGTTACCTGGTGTGCTGTCCTTTTATGAGGCACAGGATGTGACTGAGATCATTGCTACTGGGTTGCTCTCTGTGCAGCCTGATCTGGGCAGCAATCAACAAGATGCTTTTGAGAGCCCTGTCCACTAAACCCCATTTAGTTCACCCTGTCCCCTGGGGCTCTCCACTGCTGTGAGCAGTCTGAACCAAGACAATAGCATTTCCGTCCTCTTCAGAGCCCACTGCTGCTGTGGAAGTTGTGACTGTCTGGAGATGAATACCTGCTAAGGGACATTCCTGCCTCTGGGTTCCACTTGCACATTTACACACCAAGAATCCCAGGCATGCTTTGAAGTTATATATTTATTCCTAACACCCATTTGCTTTTAAGTGTGTGAACCTGAGGCAGACAATAACAAACAGGCAGGATGTTTTCTTGAGTGCAGATTCAATGGCTTTCGCCAAGAGATCCCAGAAGGACATAAGCCAGGCACTGACCTGTTGTACAGCAGAGAACAGCGGAAGCCCATAATCGGTGCAATAGTGGACTCTGAACACACTTCTGATTAAAGTTTAACTTCTCCGACTCCTGCGGTTCCAAGATCCCCTCTGCTGCCTCCGTCCTGGCAAAGGAAACAAAGAGTTATTTTGAAGAGTATTGCTTTATTGAGAGATGCTTACATAAGTCATCTGTCCTTAAGAAGTGTGACAGAGATATTGAGCCAGACTCAGTCCCAGGAGCAGTGCTGACTGCAGAGGAATTACACAAGGGACATGGCGGCCTCTTTACCTGGAAGCCCAAGTGATATTTTCTGTTGACTTTGATTACAGGCATTTAAAAAAAG